TTGCTGAAATTGATATAGACTTAGGGTATTTTATGCAATGTTATATGATATAAAATAAATAGTAAAATAATAATTCTAATTAACGAATAAGTAATACTAATAAAAAAATTATTATATAGTTACCTTGTCAAATAACTAAATAAACTTTTTTTTGTCTTATAAAAAAAAAAAAAACGTGAAAATTTTTTTCTAAAACAAATAATGACTGTTAAAAATTCTCTTTTAAAAATACCAATTTTAATAATTAAATTTTTTACTAAAAAGAGAAGGAGGTTTATGTTAATTTTCCTGAATCCTAGAGGCAGAGATAATGATTTATTGTGATCACAGAATTTCACAGAAAATCACCAAATTTGGTTCAAGTTTTTGGCTTAATTTAGGATTTGCAATTATTGTAATTCCGGTAAACACTAAATTTGGGCAGAATTTACGAGTCGTAATGTTGGCTAACCTTGCTTAATTCCGGTCAAATCACAAAATTTCACAGAATTTACTTTTATCACACACAAAATTTACTTTATATCACCCGGGGGTCTAGAATTATAACCCTAAACTGGGGGTCTAGGATAAGGACGCTCTTTATTTTATTATTCAACTAAGCCATCCATAAATCAAATCACGTGCACATAAAATCACGTGTCAGAGGATTTCGCGTACCCTGTCTGGCGTTTTTTTCCTCTAAAACTCTTTGAACTCTATTACGCTACTTCTAAACATCAAACATGACAGATTTACATCGCTTACATAAAGCCATCAGAGACTATTTTGATGATACACCTGTTGAAGAATGGTCATATCTTAATTTTTAGAAACATTTAAACCCGTCATTATGTCAAAATTGGATGTCCCAAAACAAGAAGATAAAGGTACATGGAGAAAGAGATTTATAACACGTTTAGATAAGATTGCGGAAGATGACGCGTATAATGAACAACAAAGAAAGTTGGCGATTCGCTTGAAAGGAAAGGTATTTTAGCAATAATTTCTTTTTTAAAACAGTCAAGACAGTTCTACACGGCCAAAGGATGGTTTCGTTCCCTCCGTGTAGTTACTGTCGGTGTCATTACTAGCCAAGGATGGTTTCGTTCCCTCGTACGATACCCGACTGTTTCTGAATTTTGAATCATTAGTTTTGGATGATTTAAGAGTTCTGCATAGACTAAATTATAAGTTTAATCTCATCACATTTTTAGAACCCCTCGTCTGCAGATACTTTCTGGAACCATATTGAAAAAGAGAAAGAAGATTTACGTGGAAAACGAGAGATTGTGAATAAGACTGTATGTATTATCCCTACATATAATTTATGTTACATGTCCTAAACCTTCTACTTGTCAACTCTAGAATTCAGTACTCAACAATACAGAAATAGAAGCCCTAGATCTATTAGATACTGCACGCACAGAAAAAACGAAAGAAATTTTGAGCTCATTGAAGCGGAAACCTGAAAACGAAGTGCCCGGGTAAGAATGCATAGTACAAACATTTATTTACATCCAGTCCATTGAGCTCATTGTTTCTTTATATTAGTTCCTCTAGTGATTATACTAAAGAAAATTCATTTAATACGAATTTTTTAGCATTTTCTACTTTAACATATTGAATAAATTATAGCCATGCACACTCCTTCATCATATGTGATCATGATGATAAAATAAAAGCATTATTCAGTAAAGAAGACCGGAAAGAACTCACGAAGAAGCCTTCACTGCCGTCCGTTGATTATGAAATTGGAAAAGAATTGGCCAAGTACATGAAAGAAGATCTTGTTGAACTTCGCCAAGAAGTGATGTGCAATTTCCTGAAAGATAAAGAATTTTATGATCCAAAGAAGCATTACTTAAAAGAATGGATCCAAGTTACATTGAGACATCTGTGCAATCTTTATGAAAATCCATCTGCTCCTTTGTGCCGGGAACAGTACGAGGACTGGTTTACAGTCAACCTGTTTGGAAATTGCTTTGATTTCTTGATGAGACACCCAAGAATGTCGACGGATATCAAAAGGACAGATGCACCATCATCTGCCTCAGCAAATAGGAAAAATCGAGCTAGAAAACCAAAACAAAGAAAATTGACTGGCAGAAAGATTGATGGAATTATTCA